GTGCGTGTGCGTGCGTGTGTGCATGTTTCTCTGTGTGTGTGCGTGTGGTGCGTGTGCGTGCGTGTGTGCATATTTCTGTGTACGTATAGTGGTGGTGGAGCGACTCTCGGGCAGTGTACGATGATATTGTCAGTAGGACAGTGAGACGGGTTGGTAAAGACAAAAACAGCAATCTTAAAAGAGATTACGTGTTCAGCATAGAATAGTTAACTTAATCGTGAACTAGAGCTGTGGAGAGAGACAGCGTAGTTTGCTGTGTAAAAAAAAACTAATTCTAATTGCGCTTTCCTGCGTTTCCACCTCCGTGCTAGTCTGACCATTCACTTCCCATGTGCTAGGACACAACTCGAGTCTTCGAGAGAGAGATGCAAATTACCAAGTATCATGTATTATTAGCCCTTAAAAATTATCATGTCGCCGAATCTTAATTGGCATTAGTATTTTGTTTAAAATTCGTTTTATTGTTTTAAATATTTTGCACGGCTCTTTGGAACTGTCGAGTCTCGTTAGCAATTACGCAGCATTTCTGCAAAGTTTAATTAGGAAATTCGGGCTAGCCTTTGTTCGTATTAACGTAAAACTCTTCGGAGGAGAGAGATTCTTTCAACGAAATTTACGCTGAGTATGGAATTTCGCCGCCATTCGAACAGCGGTCGCACAACCTACGTAATTAAATACCCGAACCTTGCCGACTTTCTTTTGCGCGGCACAGGCGAAAACATATTTGATTTCGGAAAAAAACACGCGCCCTTAACGAGCCGTAGCATTATCGGCGGAGAAAACTTGCACGCCCTTATTAGGAGGCATCGCGTGACATCTCAGCACGAGAAATCGGAGGCGGCGTGGGTTGAGTAGTTGATATTAAACGCTAGGCTAGCGTTCGCATCGTGACACACTGTGGTTAGTCGGAACAACGACTGCTAGTTTAGGAACAACGACTGCTAGTTTAGGAACAACGACTGCTAGTTTAGGAAAAGAGACTGCGAGGTGAAGTCACACGCGAATGATACGGTATCGGTGACGCGTTGCTATGGGAACAGCGCACCGCCGCTGGAAAGTTTTAGATGATTTACGTAAAATATTTGAGTTTGGAGTTAAGATTGGATTTTGTCAATGATCGTCTATTAAGTCTAAGAAGCGTTTTTTTACTCTCTCTCTCTCGCGCGCGCTCTCTCTCTCTCTGTCTCTCTTTCTCTCTCTCGATCTCTCCCTCTTTCAGTTTCACACTCTCTCCCGCGTGCTCTCTCTCGCTCTCTCTCTCTGCATACTTCTTATGTCGCTCTCTCCCCTTTATCTACATTACCCGTTTTGAAGTAGAAAGATAAGACATATAAAATTCTATAATAACTATCTACAAATATCTGTACAATCTATATAATATGCTTTAGACACTAGTTGAGAATGTTCTGTTTAAAACAATTATACGAATTGTTTAAGCTCTTGCAAACAGATTAATTATTAATTAATACATGGATTTATTATCAAATAAAACTATTATTAATTATATATTAAAATTAATTAAATATTTCTAAGAAATAATATCTTAATAGCATGAAGAAATCAGATGCACATATTAGTTATTACAGAGAATTTCATGATATATCATAAACAGATTGGAATATTGACTACTCACATTCACCAGTCCAAAGTAGTGTTCGTTGGCTGGGAACTGGTCGGATCCGATCTCTTTCTCAAGTTGTGACCCATTAGCACCCTGAAGATAATGACAGAGATGGCAATGAGTAAGAACAGAAACAGACAAATCTTCACCTCCTTCCACATCGTGACGGCGATGACGTCACCCACGGCAGTGTGACGTTCACTTGTTCTCGTGGCGAGGCGAAGTTCGCTTGTTTTTGCGACGAGGTGTCGTTCACTTGTTTTCGCGACGAGGTGTTGTTCATCTAATCTCGCAGTGCGTCAATGTTCGCTTGTTCTCTTGCGTGGCAACGTTCTCTTGTTTTCGTATCGCAGCGACGTTCACTTGTTACCGCGACGCTGGTCAGCCGCGTGTGAGGTGACGGGGGAAGGCCCTAGTAGTAGCACTGGCGTTAGTTGCCACGGTTACGTACAATTACCGTGGCTACGTTCAGAACAAAGTGCTGAATGTCTCCCTTCGAGTGTTCACATAGAACAACTCTAGTGTCACAGAATAGTACTGAATCCCTTTTCCCGCGTTCCTCTACAAAGACTCAGTCAAAACAGCTCTCTCTCTCTCTACCACCTCTCGTCCGCTCTCCTCCTCGGTCACGCGGTCAGCTAAAAAAAGTTCTGAAGCGCACAAACAATGCACGGAGCCGCAGCGCGGTTCCAGAACACCCTCGTACGTTCCTTCGCTACGGAGCACCGGAATCGCAGCAAGGTCGTCTGCACGCAGGAGTGTCGTCGCCGTAACCTAGGCGATCCAACGCCTCCGCCGCAAGGTCGTTAACGACGGTCGGTGTGTGTCGGTCGTTAGGCCCGTTGCCGCAACGACGGTTCGAACGCACAAGACGCGAGCGCGCGTATTACGCCTCCCGATCGAACAATGCCAATCGTGAATTGAGATTAATCAAATCGGGATTCGTAAGCGAATGCAGCGCGTCTATGCAACGCTTGTCCGGCTACGCGACAATGCGACGATAGAGTGAGCACTCGTGTGCGCACGCGAGAGAGAGAGAGAGGGAGGGCTTCACGCACAACACAGCGCAGCTTCCGTGCGACGATTGGCCAGCATCCTCCCCTGCTACTGCTGTTGCTGCTGCTGCTGCTATTACTACTACTAGTACTGATGCTACTGCTACTGCTGCTGCTGCTGCTAGTACTGATGCTACTGCTGCTGCTGCTGCTGCTGCTACTGCTGTTGGTGCTGCTGCTGCTGCTGGTGGAGGTGGTAGTGCTACTGCTGCTGCTGCTGCTGCTGCTACTTCTACTGCTCCTGCTACTGCTGCTGCTAGTACTGACGCTACTGCTAGTACTGATGCTACTGCTGCTGCTGATGCTGGTGGTGGTGGTTCTGCTTCTGCTACTGCTAATGCTGCTGCTGCTGCTACTGCTACTGCTGCTGCTGCTGCTACTGCTGCTGGTTGTGGTAGTGGTGGTGCTGCTGCTGCTGCGGCCGCTGCTGCTGCTGCTACTGCTAATGCTACTGCTGCTGCTACTACTGTTGTTGTTGTTGTTGCTGCTGCTGCTGCACGAGCGACGCACGCAAGCACCGACGATGATGGGGGAAGGAGGAGAAAGAGAAGGAGGAGGGCTGATGCTTGATGAGTAGCCCCAGGAAAGCAACATTACGCTTTCGAATATATATTCAGTCATTACGTATCTCGTTTCCATCTCGTTTTCCTTCCCATTTATCCCACGCTCCCTCTCTCGCCTGCACGCTCTCAATTCCCCCCCCCCCATATCTTTCTCGCTGCACCTCCCCAGACCTTTCACTCTCTTCTCCCTTTCTGCCTCTTTCACATATATTCTTTTACCTATACTCTCTAGCTCTCTCGTTCTCTCTCT